GCGTGCGTGGTCCTGGACAGAACCTGCTCCGAACCGCCGGGCTCTCCTGCCTCCCACGCGTGTCACTCACCCCAGTGGCTCCGCACACACAGCAGCTTCAGTGACCAGTGACAGCTGGCGGTGCCCGAGGGTCCCTCCCCCTGGAGAGCAGAGAACTGAGGACAGGCAGACACCAGGCCAACTGAGGAGCATAGAATTCATGAGAGTGGCTCAGGGAGGACGGAGGAGAGTGGCTCCGGGGGGGGGGGGGAGAGGGGCTCAGGGAGAAGGAGGGAGGAGAGGGCTCAGGGAGGAGCAGGGGGGAGAGGGGCTCAGGGAGAAGGAGGGAGGAGAGGGCTCAGGGAGGAGCAGGGGGGAGAGGGGCTCAGGGAGAAGGAGGGAGGAGAGGGCTCAGGGAGGAGCAGGGGGGAGAGGGGCTCAGGGAGAAGGAGGGAGGAGAGGGCTCAGGGAGGAGCAGGGGGGAGAGGGGCTCAGGGAGAAGGAGGGAGGAGAGGGCTCAGGGAGGAGCAGGGGGGAGAGGGGCTCAGGGAGAAGGAGGGAGGAGAGGGCTCAGGGAGGAGCAGGGGGGAGAGGGGCTCAGGGAGAAGGAGGGAGGAGAGGGCTCAGGGAGGAGCAGGGGGGAGAGGGGCTCAGGGAGAAGGAGGGAGGAGAGGGCTCAGGGAGGAGCAGGGGGGAGAGGGGCTCAGGGAGAAGGAGGGAGGAGAGGGCTCAGGGAGGAGCAGGGGGGAGAGGGGCTCAGGGAGAAGGAGGGAGGAGAGGGCTCAGGGAGGAGCAGGGGGGAGAGGGGCTCAGGGAGAAGGAGGGAGGAGAGGGCTCAGGGAGGAGCAGGGGGGAGAGGGGCTCAGGGAGAAGGAGGGAGGAGAGGGCTCAGGGAGGAGCAGGGGGGAGAGGGGCTCAGGGAGAAGGAGGGAGGAGAGGGCTCAGGGAGGAGCAGGGGGGAGAGGGGCTCAGGGAGAAGGAGGGAGGAGAGGGCTCAGGGAGGAGCAGGGGGGAGAGGGGCTCAGGGAGAAGGAGGGAGGAGAGGGCTCAGGGAGGAGCAGGGGGGAGAGGGGCTCAGGGAGAAGGAGGGAGGAGAGGGCTCAGGGAGGAGCAGGGGGGAGAGGGGCTCAGGGAGAAGGAGGGAGGAGAGGGCTCAGGGAGGAGCAGGGGGGAGAGGGGCTCAGGGAGAAGGAGGGAGGAGAGGGCTCAGGGAGGAGCAGGGGGGAGAGGGGCTCAGGGAGAAGGAGGGAGGAGAGGGCTCAGGGAGGAGCAGGGGGGAGAGGGGCTCAGGGAGAAGGAGGGAGGAGAGGGCTCAGGGAGGAGCAGGGGGGAGAGGGGCTCAGGGAGAAGGAGGGAGGAGAGGGCTCAGGGAGGAGCAGGGGGGAGAGGGGCTCAGGGAGAAGGAGGGAGGAGAGGGCTCAGGGAGGAGCAGGGGGGAGAGGGGCTCAGGGAGAAGGAGGGAGGAGAGGGCTCAGGGAGGAGCAGGGGGGAGAGGGGCTCAGGGAGAAGGAGGGAGGAGAGGGCTCAGGGAGGAGCAGGGGGGAGAGGGGCTCAGGGAGAAGGAGGGAGGAGAGGGCTCAGGGAGGAGCAGGGGGGAGAGGGGCTCAGGGAGAAGGAGGGAGGAGAGGGCTCAGGGAGGAGCAGGGGGGAGAGGGGCTCAGGGAGAAGGAGGGAGGAGAGGGCTCAGGGAGGAGCAGGGGGGAGAGGGGCTCAGGGAGAAGGAGGGAGGAGAGGGCTCAGGGAGGAGCAGGGGGGAGAGGGGCTCAGGGAGAAGGAGGGAGGAGAGGGCTCAGGGAGGAGCAGGGGGGAGAGGGGCTCAGGGAGAAGGAGGGAGGAGAGGGCTCAGGGAGGAGCAGGGGGGAGAGGGGCTCAGGGAGAAGGAGGGAGGAGAGGGCTCAGGGAGGAGCAGGGGGGAGAGGGGCTCAGGGAGAAGGAGGGAGGAGAGGGCTCAGGGAGGAGCAGGGGGGAGAGGGGCTCAGGGAGAAGGAGGGAGGAGAGGGCTCAGGGAGGAGCAGGGGGGAGAGGGGCTCAGGGAGAAGGAGGGAGGAGAGGGCTCAGGGAGGAGCAGGGGGGAGAGGGGCTCAGGGAGAAGGAGGGAGGAGAGGGCTCAGGGAGGAGCAGGGGGGAGAGGGGCTCAGGGAGAAGGAGGGAGGAGAGGGCTCAGGGAGGAGCAGGGGGGAGAGGGGCTCAGGGAGAAGGAGGGAGGAGAGGGCTCAGGGAGGAGCAGGGGGGAGAGGGGCTCAGGGAGAAGGAGGGAGGAGAGGGCTCAGGGAGGAGCAGGGGGGAGAGGGGCTCAGGGAGAAGGAGGGAGGAGAGGGCTCAGGGAGGAGCAGGGGGGAGAGGGGCTCAGGGAGAAGGAGGGAGGAGAGGGCTCAGGGAGGAGCAGGGGGGAGAGGGGCTCAGGGAGAAGGAGGGAGGAGAGGGCTCAGGGAGGAGCAGGGGGGAGAGGGGCTCAGGGAGAAGGAGGGAGGAGAGGGCTCAGGGAGGAGCAGGGGGGAGAGGGGCTCAGGGAGAAGGAGGGAGGAGAGGGCTCAGGGAGGAGCAGGGGGGAGAGGGGCTCAGGGAGAAGGAGGGAGGAGAGGGCTCAGGGAGGAGCAGGGGGGAGAGGGGCTCAGGGAGAAGGAGGGAGGAGAGGGCTCAGGGAGGAGCAGGGGGGAGAGGGGCTCAGGGAGAAGGAGGGAGGAGAGGGCTCAGGGAGGAGCAGGGGGGAGAGGGGCTCAGGGAGAAGGAGGGAGGAGAGGGCTCAGGGAGGAGCAGGGGGGAGAGGGGCTCAGGGAGAAGGAGGGAGGAGAGGGCTCAGGGAGGAGCAGGGGGGAGAGGGGCTCAGGGAGAAGGAGGGAGGAGAGGGCTCAGGGAGGAGCAGGGGGGAGAGGGGCTCAGGGAGAAGGAGGGAGGAGAGGGCTCAGGGAGGAGCAGGGGGGAGAGGGGCTCAGGGAGAAGGAGGGAGGAGAGGGCTCAGGGAGGAGCAGGGGGGAGAGGGGCTCAGGGAGAAGGAGGGAGGAGAGGGCTCAGGGAGGAGCAGGGGGGAGAGGGGCTCAGGGAGAAGGAGGGAGGAGAGGGCTCAGGGAGGAGCAGGGGGGAGAGGGGCTCAGGGAGAAGGAGGGAGGAGAGGGCTCAGGGAGGAGCAGGGGGGAGAGGGGCTCAGGGAGAAGGAGGGAGGAGAGGGCTCAGGGAGGAGCAGGGGGGAGAGGGGCTCAGGGAGAAGGAGGGAGGAGAGGGCTCAGGGAGGAGCAGGGGGGAGAGGGGCTCAGGGAGAAGGAGGGAGGAGAGGGCTCAGGGAGGAGCAGGGGGGAGAGGGGCTCAGGGAGAAGGAGGGAGGAGAGGGCTCAGGGAGGAGCAGGGGGGAGAGGGGCTCAGGGAGAAGGAGGGAGGAGAGGGCTCAGGGAGGAGCAGGGGGGAGAGGGGCTCAGGGAGAAGGAGGGAGGAGAGGGCTCAGGGAGGAGCAGGGGGGAGAGGGGCTCAGGGAGAAGGAGGGAGGAGAGGGCTCAGGGAGGAGCAGGGGGGAGAGGGGCTCAGGGAGAAGGAGGGAGGAGAGGGCTCAGGGAGGAGCAGGGGGGAGAGGGGCTCAGGGAGAAGGAGGGAGGAGAGGGCTCAGGGAGGAGCAGGGGGGAGAGGGGCTCAGGGAGAAGGAGGGAGGAGAGGGCTCAGGGAGGAGCAGGGGGGAGAGGGGCTCAGGGAGAAGGAGGGAGGAGAGGGCTCAGGGAGGAGCAGGGAGGAGAGGGGCTCAGGGAGGAGGAGGAGAGTGGATTTGGGTGGAAGTTGGTTGAGTGCTCAGTGTGGAGGAGGAAGAGTGAATGGAGAAGGCGACGCGGCCATGGGCGTCCCCTGGGGAGGGCTCGCGGGAAGGCTTGTGAAGCTACGCTCTCTGCAGCCACCTCGTTTTCCTCTTTTAAAGAAGAAATCTGCCTCCTGGTTCACTTCTATCCACACCGGCAGCATCCTAATAACCGGATGGGTGATCATAACCGGAACCAGTATTATTATTATCTAACCACCTTGTACTGGGCACTTCCTGTGTGCCAGGTCTACACTAAGAACGCTGATGAGTCACTTAATGGTCACAATGAGAAGGCAGGAGAGGAAAATGGATGAGAGGGGTTAGCCGAGCTCCCGGTGTCCCAGCCAGGCAGCTGCAGTCAGGACTCCTGTGGAGTCGTGGGTGCTCTTAGGACCAAGCCCCCCCCCCCCCCCCCCCCCCCCACAACTGTTTTTTTTCAACAGGGAGCACAAAGTCGGACTCTGGCCAGTCCCAGGAAGAATCACCAGTGATCGGAAATGAGCAGGACTGATAAGCTTTTCTATGTGGTTTACCCAGAAGGCGCACACTGCAAATTCCATGCCCCACATGTCCCCTTCCTCCCCCACATCACACACTGAACACATTAGAAGTAACAGAAGTTCGATTCCCAAGAGCACATGCCTGGGTTGTGGGCTCGATCCCTAGTAGGGGGCTTGCAGGAGGCAGCCGATCAATGATTCTCTCTCATCATTGATGTTTCTATCTCTCTATCCCTCTCCCTTCCTCTCTGAAATCAATAAAAATATATTTAAAAAGAAAAAAGACCGCTGGCCATTTCAGAAGCCCTTTACACGCTGATTGGCAGCGGACGCCCCCACCCCCCGCTCCCCAAATAACTGCCCTCGGACTCTCGCTGCCTTCCAGCTTCTCAGCCACTGCAGGTCTCCTGACCCGAGTGCAGTCCTTTCCGTGAAGGAAGCCAACGTGTCTTACGAGGCTGTTACTCTCCAGGTTCCCCTTTATTTCTTCCTTCTCCTTAACGGAGGCAGCTGGTTGATGTCTCTCTCTCTCTGTCTCTCTCTAATCAATAAACATATCCTTGGGTGGGGATCTGTAAAAGATTCCTTCTTTAAATACTAATAATAACAGAGGCCCTGATTTCCTCCGTCAGGTGCAGCTGGGACATCCGAGTGCCAACCAATCCTCAGTTGCCTCTGATGTGCAGCCAAGGTTCACACTCACGACTTGAGCATATCTGACTTCTTGGATAATAAGTAAACCCGCATGTCACCCAGGGAAGCTCCGGTATTTCCTTTGTCTTTTGGGGAAGGCAGGCAAATAGGGGAAACGATGTAAAAGTGAACTCTCCCTGAGCAGTGAGTGCAGACATCATTTCGTTGTATCTGAAGACTCCAAAGGAAACGAGGCCCATGTTTCCCTCTATACATTTCCAGAACTTCACTGTTTAATTCTATCTGGGTTGCAGCCGAGAAAGAAAACCACTTTGAATGGAAAAGGCCTTTCTTAGTCTGAAGATCAAGAGCTTCTTCCAGAAGATTTCTTTTCCAGAACTTTATTAAACTAAAATGTATTAAGGCTCTTCAACGTGTTTTTAAAAAATATGTTTTATTGATTTTAGAGAGGAAGGGAAACACAAAGTAGGATCATTGGATAGAGAAGAAGAAATGCCACCACTGACGGTCAGAGAGAGAACCGATGAAAGAGAAAGCTGTCATCGCTATGAGAACAGCAATGGAGAGCGCAATGTTCTTGTCTGTAATCGGTAGGCAAAGGACGGCCACCGTCCTGGTGTTCTCAAGGCCGTATTAACCCGCATCGCTGGTGCCTGCATAACTGCTAAGAACACCTCGTTTCACTCTCAAAAGTCCTGTGGTTTGGATAATAAATTATATGGTCACCTTAGCAACAATAAGACTTTCAACACTTTAAAAAAGAACAGAGGGCAAAGGGGTAGAATAAGAATGATATCATCAGAGTCACATTTTACCAAGACTCATCAGGCAGTTCCATGGGATTTGTACTCAAAAGAGAAGGAAATTAGATAGAG